GTATAGTGGGACTTCGGGAAGCTGGACTTTCTTTTCGGGCAATTGCAGTTAGAGTGCAAAGAAGTGTAGGCACTGTGGTTAGGTGTTGTCAGGCATGGCTTCGAGAAGGCCGTACGCAAAGAGCAAGGGGCACTGGACGCCGCCGTAGAACAACAGACCGTGAAGATCGCCGCCTAAGATTATTGGCCTTAAGGGACCGTTTCTCCACTACCAGGTCCATTGCAAATGAATGGTTTGCAGAACACGGAAGACCTATTGGCATGCGAAGTGTTTACCGACGAATGAGAAGTTTTGGTTTGTTTTCATACCGGCCACACTGGGTCCTCCCTTTAACTCGAGAACACCGACGTAATCGCCTTGAGTGGTGCAGACAACGGTCACTCTGGGATCAGGAATGGAACAGTATTGTCTTTAGTGACGAGTCTCGATTTTGTTTAGGCATGCACGATGGTCGTGCCGGGGTTAGAAGGCCACGTGGTGAAAGGAGGAATCCACAGCTTTTTGTTGAAAGACATGTTCATCACACTGTTGGAATTATGGTTTGGGGTGCTATAGCTTATGGTTCCAGGTCACCTTTAATCTTCATCAGAGGTAACATGAACGCGCAGCGTTATATCCACGAAGTTCTAGAACCCCATCTTTTACCCTATCTTGACACCCTGGCAGATCCAACTTTCCAACAACATAATGCCCGACCACATGTTGCAAGAGTCACAATAGACTTCTTTCAACATAATGATGTCACATTGTTACCATGGCCACCAAGATCTCCCGACTTATCCCCAATTGAGCACGTGTGGGATATGATGGGTAGGACATTGCTCAATTTGCAACGTCCTCCTCAGACTCTAGAAGCACTTCGAGAGGAGTTGGTGGTTGCCTGGAATAAGATACCACAGGAGGACATTGACCACCTGATCAGAAGCATGCCTAGGCGCGTTGGAGAATGCGTAGCACATCAGGGTGCATCCACACATTATTAAAGGTCAAAGGCTTTAAAGCAGTGCAATAATTTTGAAATTTTTATCATTTACTTATTATGCTTCATTAAGTACTTATACAAAATTTTATTAAAATGAAACCATTTAAACTGGGTGTTCGGATTTATATGTCACTTAGTATATGAATGTAATTTATTTAGACATCATAATTACACATTTTGGTATTTTTGGTTAATGGGCATCTCTTCATAGACCTCTCTCTGACAGATGCATATCCAATGAAAATACCAAACCCTGTGATCTTAATGCATAAATAACTTTGTCCAGCGACCCACAATCCTGACTTCCATGGGTATATCTATTTGGTATATTATTTTATGATGTTTTGTAAAGTTTTGCCTATGATATTATTTCTACATCCTTCAGTGTACGGACGCTAATGTTTTTGATTTTCGATACGATCTTTGTTTCAGCATTCATGTGTCCATCCGTATAAGCTGTTTCGGCTGATGCCTTCCACCAAAAAACCTCTTATCTTTTGCGGTGTATTTGTTTAACGCTTGAGGTGATAGCTGTATGTCAAAGTCAGATTCAGCCACAAAAAAACATCAATCCCTCCACTACTAGAGTTCTTTTATATCCCAACTCTTTTCGTATTCCCAGTAAGGTATAAATAACTTGTAGGAGACAGTTTACACAAAAAAACGGTGTGTGATGATAAAAAAACTTGAAAGATAAAACGTGGAAAACGGCAATAAATTTTGTCGGGTTAGAATACACAAAATACACATATCTAAAACATAGGGTCATTTCCAATCGATGTTTATGATTCTATTCCCCACGTTGCAAGGACAGTGAAAATTTATAGCTTTCGAATTTCGGTAGAAAAGTCTCTATAGCATCAAAAACATTATAGAGAAAAATGTCCAAAGTAAATGAAACCTCTTGTTACCATAACAAGCAAGGCTAAAATTGCTTTCTAATCAACTAAGCCTAAGTTACACTTCGGATTCTTGTGAGGGAAGATTTGAGCTTTAATTTGTAAACTTTAAAATTAGTAATTTTAACTGAGTTTTCAAGCACTGAAAATGCCACGTTTTATGGTCTTTCTGATATTGAATCGCTTATAACTCTAAGCAGTCAATTTTAGGGAAAAGTTACTAAGTTATTCAAAATGATCCGCAAGTCCTAAAAGAAAACTATGCCCGGAGCGATAAAGGCAGGTGTTGTCGCTCTGTGATTTGAGAAAGTAATTTAATGATCCCGCCGATCTCTAGAAATAGATAGCTGCTCAATATTTTGCCAATTAAAGCTCTAATCTTACTTAAATATTCAGACGAGTATTCTAGGCTCAGATGATTTTAAAGCAATTTTTGTTCCTACTCGCTAGGCTAGCAAGAGGTGAACTTTGGGCTTTCGCAGATTGTACGTACGCATAGGTATAAATATTATGAACGGATCAATTCCCGAGGTATTCACAAAAACAGAAATAGAAATTTTGGAAATTATTTCGATATTAAAAAGAATAAACTCAAAAATGAATTGGGATATGCGAAGAATTTTCTGTTTTTCATTGTTCGAAATGTTTTGACTACGAATAAAAATATAACAAAGCTCTGAAGAAAAGATAAACGCATCTTAACAAATATTACATTCGAAATTGGGATTGCCAGACTTGAATGTTTCTTAAGATTATAAAATGTCACAACAAAACAAAAAATCCAATTGCAGAGCATTTTGGCATCTTTAGTGTCTTGTTAGAAACTGAAACAGTGAATGGATGTTGATAAATGAGTCAGCAACTGACATATCGATATACCAACTGAACACATTTATGATTTTTGGCTGTTTGCTTACGATTTCATACGAAATAAGTGAACAGGACTGAATGCGTCAACCGAACCCTAACGTAGCTGCAAATCGTTGTTGCACACACACATGAATTGGGTGAAAAAGGACTATTGTTTACATTCAGTTTGTGAAAATACTCCAACAAATACGTTGACGGGTAAATTTTGAAGACAAAACTGAAAAAACGTACGTCTATCAGCTTACGCAGGTAAGTGCTCATGTATAGAGACCGATTGCATAAGTATGTGTGCGTTTAGGGAATTCCTGCAGCCCAAACTGCGAAAAAACTGTTACACAACAGTAAAAATCAGAGTATTTAAAAAAATGGTCGCAAAACTTCCTTTATTTATACTTGGGGAGCGATAAACTCTTATAACGCTGAGGACTACCAAAACTATATCTCAAAACTGTAAGAAGAATTAACATTTGATGGCTAGCTCCATGTATGACAATCATCCTGTATACTGATTTTTTTATAAAAAAAACTTGATAGCATCTAGAGAGAAAATGTTTCCTTCGTTTGCTTGCACAAACAAAATAATCATATTCTTGGATTAAATTGTACTAGCGTTAGACTTATCACTTGCCGATGTTTCTTTCAAACCACGTAAATGTATTTGAAAATACTGTGCCAAGTAGACTGACTCCAGTCAACATTGATAACAGTCATTTGGTAAAATAATAGCTTTTGAATTTCAACAAAAATAGGTATCTGCTTTTAAATTGATACCTCCGAGTAAATAGTTAACTTGAATGACGCGATATTACATTGCAAATTTTTCACACGTATTTGCATCAAAAAGCGGCACCAGCGTTTGACCAAAGAGTAGTTATATCAAGAGAAGATAGCCAAGTCTGCTGATGGCGTCTAAGCACGTGATCTTCTTATTCCCAGCCGTAGATAAATGCGGTGTTGCCATATAGATAATCCTTGTTCGATTACCCCATTGACCATAATTTATAGCGAAAGCTTTTTTTGCTCAAACTTACTTGTCTTTGGGTATTTATTCATGGTGAGGATATTTATCACCCTGCGGCAGACTACGAAATATATTTATCATTCAATAAAGTTATAAATCACACTTTTCGCGAGGGAAGTTACTCTCAAATCATGGAAGTTATCGCATAGCTATTTAACTTTTAAGGTCTTATGCGAAATATTACACGATTTAACTTGGTAACAAAAGAGCAACGTCAGCTTGAAACTCAAAAGTTCTTAAACTTCAAATTGCTTATTTGACCAATCGTCGGTTTATTTAACATGGTTGTCAATTATCTACATAGCGTGGCCTGGAACCTTTTGACGTAACCACGAAGAACCGTGAAAAGAACTAAATTTCATCCAACTCAGAACAAATGTAGCGTTTTCTAAACATTTTATGACAGTTTGGCACTCACGCCTCGATGCATACTGAGCCATCTATGAGCGTATAGTCTAACGGAAAACCGTCATAGATCGCGGTTTTTATTTGTAAACCAATACTAGCTGACCGCAAAGCTCGCGCACTGATAGGATCTGTTAAAAACTAGTCGTATCTTACGGATTTTGATACTAAACAGCAAACCTCCTGAGTTTTTATCGTATCATATGAGTATCAGCGGATTTAACAAAAAATTTACGATCATCTTCCCTACTATAATTCAAAAGAAATCGTAAGTTCAATGGGGCCGAGCAGAGGATTATGAAGACATTCCACGAACTTGATATAACTTTTCTTTGGTTTTACTATATCATATAAAACTACATAACCTCCAACAGTCGCTACAATTTTTTTATCTGAACCAAAAAGCACATAACATCAAAATAGTTAACTTGTTTCGCTATCAACAATGATCATCAAATTAATGAGCATTTGCAAAGGTGTCAGGGGTCGAGCATAGGGATCAACCCTCGTATAGAATAAGAATAACCATAGCTAGAAGAAAGGCAGGGTTCGCAAGTGGTGTCAATCGGAGCCGAATTATCAATTTTTACACAAGAAATATTTTTCCAACGGTTTAATTCCGTCTACAATGAGACAAAAACAAAGTCTCTTCAACCCCGGAGTAGGGCCTTTAAACTTCAGCATCAACAATAGGAAAGCGACTACTCTCTCCAGTTACTTTCAAGTTGCGCCGCGCTAAAAGCCTCAATCGCCAGTTGAAAAGTCGTTCGCTGCACGAGAGGATAGAGGAGGTACAAAGGAGTAAGAAGGAAAGGAGACTCACCTCTATGTGGATGCCGCTATCGCCGCTGTTGCATTTCATGCTCCTGGCGGATTTGCCACCGGCTTTGCTCTCTTTGCTGCTGCTACGCCATGCCAGCGGGCGGAATCTGCAACAACAGAGGAATCGCATTATCTACTGTTACACAGGGCGTTTCGGAGGATGTAGGTAATTTTCACGTTTGGTCAAGGGCTTTCCAGAATACTCGACGTTTCACGCTAAATGGCGAGGAGATGTAATTTCAAAAATGAGATATCATATGTTAACCCTAGAAAGATAATCTACGTTCGCGAGATGTACGGCCCAACAATATTCGTCTTTTTTAACCTTTGCTATCAATCGCAGCGTACTACAAGGTCGTCAGAAAGAATGCATGTTTTTCGAATGGGTACTACATCGAGTGGGCTGGTCCCGTGTCGGTGGGGAAGGGCGTGTTGGATAGTGGGAGAAGTGCCGTTTCAGTTGGCAAGATGGTTTGGAACGTTGAGCATCGTGTGTTCACTGTTCGTCGGTACTTTCAAAATGGCGAGTCTGTCGTTCGAACGCGTTCACTTTCGTGTTCCACGTCGTCGAACAGTACCAGACCGTAACACCATTTTGAGATGGGTGGAAGCATTCAACACAACAGGTAATGTGATGAAGAAAAAACCGCCAGTTTGAGTGCCAGTTCCCTAGGGATCCACGCGTCCTCTGTACGTCGCATCTTGAAGAAGGATTTAGTGTTCCATCCTTACAAAATCAAAGTTTGTCAACAACTGTTGCCAGGGGATAACAATGACGTTGTTTATGAGTGCCTAAGCACATTTTCATTTACATGGATACGTCAATAAACAAAATTGTCGATATTGGTCTCCAGTGAACCCCCAACAGTTGCATCAGTAGCCCCCGCATGCCCCGAATGTTACAGTTTGGGGTGCAGTAGGCCCAACGATAATTATTGGCCCTTATTTTTTTTTGATGATGATGGAGAAACAACTACTGTGAATTCAGTGTGGTTCCAACAAGACGGGGCAACATCTCACATAGCTCGCACTTCGATGGAACTTCTTCGGAAAAAAATTCCAGGCCGTCTTATTTCACGTCATGGCGATATTCCATGGCCCCCTCGCTCCCTGGACCTGCAATTTTTTTATGGGGCTACCTCGAATCAAAAGTTTACCAAAGCAAACCTCGGACCCTCGTCGATTTGAAGGAGGAAATAAGAAGTAACCGAAATTCCTGCACGGATGCTGGTCGATGCAATGGGCTCATCTCGGGGGAGGCTTGATTCCTTCATTTCGGCTCAAGGGCGCCATATGGCCGACATAGTTTTTAGAACGTTTATTTCGATTTAATAAAATATTTTCCCATACTTATTTTGACTGTACTACTCATTTAAAGAACGTGCGTTCTTTCTGACGGACCCTGTAGCTGCTTGAACTAACTCTGTAGGAGACTGGCGCTCGCGCAAGACGACGATGGTACCGCGGTAAGTGCTCTTGATTATTATCAGATATTGCTGAGCCATACGTCCGCGAGACGTATGATTATCTTTTCAGAAACTTCTGTAAATTGATTGCTTATTTGTTATTGACGGTTACTTATTATTATTTATCTTAATACCGAACTGAAGGGTACAAAATAGTACTCAAATTGAAATATTTCTTAATGAAAATGAAGAAATTTCGTCATCAGGATGTGGAAGTGAAGTTAAGTTAAAAGTGTCAGACAACCATGAACCGGAAATATAACTCGTGGGCTTTTCTTACAAGTGGGATCAAGGTCTTCCGCTGAGCTTTCAGTGTCACCTCACCACAAATATAACAGAAACTGTTCGGATAGTTCTCACATGATCTCAACGGCATTGCTTCGCTCATACAGTGCATTTGTAAACCACCACGGATTTATCGAAAACCAGTGATTAAAAGAAACAACGCCGAGACACGCCAAGAGATTTGTCCAGGGGGAGAACTTTTTAACCAAAAGCTACTTCCCCCTTTCCACCCTCTGCCCTCCAGGGCCATCCCCTTAAAAAATTTAAATGACAAGGGGTATCAAGTAACAGCTTGTTCGAAAGGTATTTCGAAGTCCTTTATTTTGACGTTTGTTTTTTTGAAATCGGTCGGTTCGTTTTCACGAAAATTAGAAAAATCTTCATTTATCTTAATTTGTTCAGATAGAAAACAAAAACACACGAAACTATCCATTTTTATTTCAATAAGTGTTCAAAATGTTGCCCGTTATTTTTCAAACAATGATAGGGTAATTCCGGGAGAGATGGCGCACCGGATGAGATGGCGCAGCGCTATATTTGGCAACATGTTTAACATCAAGACACGACATGTTAGTTATGTTATAAACACTCCTAGAAATAAGTAATGTACGGCGGAAAAAGTGGTTTCTCACGATAATTGGAGTGGCGGAAGCAAGAAAACTAATCGTGAATTTGCAAAATTTTGCATCACGGTACGATCAACAAGAGACTGGTAAGTTATTCCATGATTAAATTCATTTTTAGTGACATAATATTGCTACAGCCGCTTGTAGGAGTGATTCTAACCTAGCACGAAGATTTTTAGTCGTTGCCAGTTTTAGTAATTAAGTGAGCCATCTCACCCGGCATTTTTGGGTGAGACGGTGCACTAAACTGCGGGTGAGTTGGAGCTTTGAATACCTATATATTTTTTTATTCCAGTACCATGCCGACGAAATACAATAGGCGTAGTACGTCTTTACGTGGACAATGGACCAAGGAACAGTTACTGCTAGCCATTGCTGCTGTGAATAATAACTCCATGGGTGTAAATGAAGCTGCAAGACATTTTAATGTTCCAGCAACCACTTTAAGAAGACGAAAGAAATATGGTAATCTGGTAGTGGGACCTCAGGGGCCGTCAGCATGTCTAGGCATACAAAATGAAAATAAGATTGTGACACACATAAAAAAGCTACAAGCACATGGGTTTGCTCCTACTCGAGAAGACGTCCGTGTTATGGCCTTTAAGTTGGCTGAACAGTTACAAATAAAGCACCGCTTCAATCATGAATCTGGAAAAGCAGGGTATGACTGGTTACATTCATTCTTATCGCGTCATCCGGGTTTGTCAGTTCGAAAGTCCGAAGGAGTGTCTCTTGCGCGCGCTCAAGGAATGAGACGCAAAGAGGTTGCTGACTACTTTAAGCTTTTGGAAAGAGTCCTTGCAGAAAATCAACTCTTTGAAAAGCATAGCCACATCTTCAACGTGGACGAGACTGGAATGCAATTGAATAACAAACCCGGATTCGTTCTTGCTGCCAAAGGTTCTAAGAATGTAGCTAGCATCACCGCTGCGGAAAAGGGAGAGACCATTACTGTTATTTCATGTTTTAGTGCGGAAGGTGTATATATTCCCCCTACCTGCATTATGAAGGGCAAAAATAAGAAAGCTGAGTATGAAGACGGTCTGCCACCGGGGTCAAAAGTCTACATGAATGAAAAATCCGCCTACATCAATAGTGCTCTCTTTTACCTTTGGCTAAAAGAACAATTCCTACCAAGGAAACCAGTTGGGACGGTTATTCTTTTGCTGGATGGACATGGATCACATTGTAACAACATTGAAATGCTCGAGTTTGCCAGCAGTAACAATATCATCCTTGTATGCCTACCCAGTCATACGACACAATTTCTGCAACCGTTGGATAGGGGGTTTTTTAAGTCATTAAAAATGAACTATTACAGAGCGTGCAATCTTTATATAAAAAATAACCCTACAAGAAGGTTGACACGGCTTCAGTTTGGAGAACTTCTTGCGTCGGCGTGGGTCAAGTCTGCCACAGTAAGTAATGCTGTGGCAGCCTTTAAGGCAACAGGTATCGTACCATTTAATCCTGAAGCAATTCCGGATGAAGCATTTTTGTCGGAGACCACAGATGTTCAGGATAATGTTAATAATTGCAATAATAACGAACAAGAGATAACAACTCAAGCAAGTATTCTGGATCACCCTCAACCAGGATGTTCAAAGGACAGTCTTCCCCCACCAGAAAGCCCTCCTAAAAATAACCTGACGCCTGGCAAAATGTTAAATAATATTTCTCCCATACCGTGTACTAGTACACCTGTTCAGCAAGTTAGAAAACGCAGCAAACAAGTGGCGTCAATACTCAACTCCGCTGAAAGTATTACAAACAAAAAATCTAAGCAGGAAAAACATCCAAGGAAAATTGTAACAAGGAAAGTGGAAAATAAAAATGAGAAAACACAAAAGGGTAGTAGGCGCCGTCGAAAATTAAATTTGGTTGAAAACACTTCTTCAGAATCAGAAGCGGATGTGTCTTTACATGATTCTTCTTCAGAAGGCTCAGAAGATGAGTGCTGTAGAGGTTGTAATGAGGCATATGCCACAACAAAAAAGCCTGATGATTGGCTAAAATGTATCCGATGTTTGTCTTGGTACCACGAAACATGTTCACGTTATAGTGAGTTATGCAACGGGTGTGCAAAAGCAGTTTTGAATAACGAATTCAATGCCAAGAAGTAAATATTTTATCTTACTATGTGTACGCCATCTCACCCGAAATAGCTGCGCCATCTCAACCGCATCTTCCGGGTTAGATGGATTTTTGTATAATGTCCTTAGAGCTAGCTTTTTATGTTTCTGTATACTTCCTAATTTGAATAATGTGTTTGATATTTGTTGCTTGATAACCAAAGAATAAAAGTTTAAGTTTTGAGTATGATTTGGTCTTTCTTTCGATTTATACAGCTGTTAAAGAAAAAGGTGCGCCATCACTCCCCGAATTACCCTATAGGCGATGTTCAAATTAATGGACATTTTCAAAAAATGATGTGTTGACAAAATTTATCCAAACTTTCAGGTTGGGGAGTAACCACAATAGATTTCAAATGACCCCATAGAAAAAAGTCTGATGGCGTCAAATCAGGAGATCTAGCAGATCATTCTATAGGCCCTCTTCGCCCTATCCATTTATCTGGAAACTCGACGTCTAGCCATTGACGAACCGGAACAATATAGTGAGGAGGCACGGCGTCTTGCTGCAAATATATTTCAGCCTCATCAAGTATAGGGTTTCCATCCTCTCCGATTTGGTTTTTAATGGGTTAAGTGATAAGAGAATTGATGGTATTTGCC